CCTCCCGGCCTCTTTAAGAAGACTGGAATCCAGGCCCCCAGATGAGGGTCCCACCACTGGGCCATAAAGAGGTGAGGAATTTGTCTGTGCCCTTCTTTTGGGAGGAGCAGGTTGCAGGACAGAAGGAGGCCCTGAGTCATGAAATCCCGTCGTCCCATGCTAGCTGGCTTCCTCGTCAACCACCTAGATTTCCACTGAGCAGTTATTATGTGCCCAGCACTGTTCCAAATGCTTTACAAGTCTTATCATATTTGATCTTCCCAACAACCCAATGGGATAGATACCACTGGTTTCCTTATCTGACAGAGGGAAACTGAGCCACAGCGATGCTAACTGACTTGCCCAAGGTCATACATCTAAGAAGTGGTGGAGCCCGGCTGGCGTGGCTCAGCGGTTGAGCGTCGACCTCTGTCTGAACCAGGAGGTCAAGGGTTGATTCCTGGTCAGAGCACATGCCTGGGTTGCAGGCTCGATCCCCAGTGTGGGGTGTGCAGGAAGCAGCCGATCAATGATTCTCTCTCATCATTGGTGTTTCTAACTCTCTCTCCCTCTCCCTTCCTCTCTGAAATCAATAAAACTATATTTAAAAACAAACAACAACAAAACAAAGAAGTGGTGGAGCTGGGATTCAAGCCTAGCAAATCAGCTTCTAGGGCCTTCTGACCCCAAAAGTGAGATAAGATGGAAATGGCCCGGGTCCATGAGAGACCCTGGGAGAGGGGGTGAGTGGGGGCAAAGGGCCAGAGCTTGGATAGACAGCCCTCTGAGCCTCCAGGACACTGACTCACCCCATCCCAGGCTGACTGAGGCTCCAAGCTCCAACCTGAACTCTTAGAGCAGCGGTTCTCAACCTGTGGGCCGCGACCCCTTTGGGGGTTGAACGACTCTTTCACAGGGGTCGCCTAAGACCATCGGAAAACACATATATAATTACATATTGTTTTTGTGATTAATCACTATGCTTTAATTATGTTCAATTTGTAACAATGAAAATACATCCTGCATATCAGATATTTACATGACGATTCATAACAGTAGCAAAATTACAGTTATGAAGTAGCAGCGAAAATAATTTTATGGTTGGGGGTCGCCACAACATGAGGAACTGTATTAAAGGGTCGCGGCATTAGGAAGGTTGAGAATCGCTGCCCTAGAGCATCGGTCACACTTAATAGAAAGTCAAGGACAAGCAGTCACTGCTTCCCTCTCCTCCCCACTGGCCTGGACCACCTCTGCTCTGCCCCAGCCCCGGGGCGGGGGGGGGGGGGGGGGGA